AGTTACGGTTTAGCACTTTATTTATTATTAATTGTATAATGGAAATAGTTCAAATTTAAATCATTAAAAGTATTAAAAATAATTTGGCTAAGCAATATTTTATGTTAAATCAAGTGTGCCAGTGATGGATTTGATGGCTGGGGGCATCGAAGAGACATCTAGAACCAAACTAGATCACAAGATATCAACTACTCTTTAAAAGTAAGAAATTCTGGTTATTTTTTTATTGCATTTATGTTCATTTGCATCTATTCTAATGATATACGATATAAGTAAACATGCTCACTGCTAAGATATCTGGTTTTAAACAATGTGTTTAGGTGCCTAAAATCTTATGTATGTACATATAATTATAGACAGTAATTAATTAAAATGATTAATCATAATATAATTTGATTTACTTTTTAAGGCCAAAGCAAAAATGCGACTATTTCTGCCGTTAAGAACAACTACGAACAGGAGAAATGAGAAGAGACAGTTTAGGTGTTTGGTAGGTCCACTGTACCCAGACCTGATGGTAAAAGAGTCTTGTTCAATGGTTCCACTGACCCCCTGCACTATATATTTTTGTGGTTTCCCTGCTGTAACTCATACCACACCTGATTCAGCTTGTTATCTGAGTACATTACCAAGCCCAACACGAGGTGAGTCACGTTGTTAACAGGAGAGAAAACACACAACAGACCTCATAATTAAGGTTGACAACCACTGACCTATATAATTTGACAGTGGTGTGACAAACAGAAAGACAATAATGTCTGTACCAAGGTGTAGTGTATGTACAGTGGGAGAAACGAGTGTTTAACATGTCAGCATTTTTTAGTGAAACATTACCAATGTAGCTATTCATGTGAAATTTTGACCAGGCATTGCTTAAAAAACACTCAAGCTAAGGACATCTTAATATTCCAATCCAAATCCAATGTTATGTACAATTCAATATATTTTGTACAACACAAAATAAAGCGGAATGACACAGGAAAAAAGTATTGAACACAATCAGAAAAAAAACTGATTCCACTAGTTCACAGGTCGCAACCCCAATGTTAAGAAGAGCCATTTTGTCCTTTCAACAAAAATCAAACCACCTTGGGAGCCACAATATTTTATGTCCATTTTGCCATCTTGGCTGTAAATATGTCTCAGTGTGTGCTGATGTGCTAGTATAGGCTAAAAAATATAATATAAATCAAAATACAGACTTACTTTGCTCTGCTTTAAACTTTAGCTCAGCTACAGCTGCTTTTCTCGCATCTCCAGCAGGAAACTTTTCCACAAAAGTGTAAAAGTTTCTTGTAAAATGTCTCTTAACGTTCGACCTTTTACGAGGCTGAAGTCGCTTCTCATTCGCCAGCTTCTTGTTCAAATTTTCCCATTCCACCTTAAATTCCACCAGAATGTACCTGCTGCACCATTTAAGGTGGAACGGGAAAATGTGAATGAAAAGCTGACTTCAGCTTCATGACTTTTTATTGTCTTAAACTCCAGCGTTTAAGAGCATTTATTGTTAAAACTGTGTTGAACGATCAGCAGAGCTTTAATTTAGTGCAAAGGAGAATTATTTCATTTTTACCTTAACATCTAATTCTGCTGTGGAGCTGCAACAGGGCAGTAAAAGAGCCACATGTTGCCGACCCCTGCACTGGTTAGTTCTCCTACCTGTGCTAATTAGAATCAGCTGGGTTAGAGCATATTGGTAGGTTTTGTTTGTACCATTTTTGAAGAAGGGGTATCCCTCCTCTGGATGCAGGTAGACAAATTATTTGTCATAGGAAACATCTCATGATGGTTAGAGACAAAAAGCTCTCCCAAGACCTTTGCTACAAGGTAGGTGAGCAGCATAGCAGTGGCACTGGTTACTGACTGATTTCTCAACTTCTAAACGTTTCTATGAGCCCTATTGGGGCTGTTATTCATAAGTGGAAGGAACGTCACTCGGCCACCCACAGGAGCTCCATGCAAGATTTCTGAAAGAACAGCCCAAGAACCAAGGACCGCTTAAAAAGTGCTCCAAAAAAGACCTGGAGGTAGTGGCTACAGTCATAACAGAGAAAATAACAGGCAGTGCACTCTACTGCCACGGTTTCCATTTGCATCTGCATGTTTATAGGAGAATGGCTCTGCATATGACCCTAAATAAAACTACTTAACCCCCCCACTATAGGGCTGCACCAAATATCCTATAATGTTCTATAATATTCAATTATTAAAATATTTGAAAACTGAATAAGCTATTCGAATATCTGTCATGCTTACCAGTTCAATGAACCAATGCACTTCCGTTTGAAAGGGAACATTTGTTGACCAGGATAAATACTACCCCACCAGTAGCGTGCAGTTGCCAGCTCTGCACACCAGACTCACTGGAGACCACCGTCTGGCATGGCTTGCGAGACTTGGGCAGCATCTGCCAGGGCCGGAGTGGGACTTGTTTTCATACCAGGAGTTATATGATGCAGACCAGCCCACTTTAATCTCCAACTGCATTTCTCCTGCTGTACAAACAGCATTGCCTTCGTACAAAATAACTTTTCCTAAAATCTGTGCATTTTCATCTTCATCTTTCTTACTCTTATGTCTTATTTATATGCTTTACTGAGATAAATAAGGTGTCTAGATAGTGACAGTAAAGAAAACTGACAAAAGTTTTCGTCTGAAATGCGACAATCATGACAGCCAGTATGCTACAAACGATGCTAACATTAGCTTAGTAACTTCCTGTCAGCATTTCTCACTGCCCACTTGCTCGTATATGTCCTCATCCTCCTTAAATAGCATTTTCATTCCTTTGTTTTGCTGCAGTTGCCGCTGCTGTCAATCTTCGCATGATTCACACATGAAAACTGTAATGACAGTAATAAACTCTGTTGCGTCAGCCAGTACCACATCGTCGTGCTTGATTTGATAATCTCTCGAGGCTAATGTTAGCTTCCTATTGCCATTTCAATTGTACCTTATATAGTGCAGTAGGCTCGTGCCATCACGCTGGTGACTGAACAGGCAGCTGAGTATAAGTGCTACATCATTTAAGGTGGAATGGGAAGCTAATTTTCTCTTCATCTAATCTCAATCCACTGTACAAGTTACAGTCAGAGTACTGGGGCTGTACAACTTGAGGTGGTGGTGTGGGGTAGCTGGTTTAACCCTAAAATTACTACAAATGGATGTAACATTTTAGTTCTTGTGCTTACATGCATGGGTTTATACATTAGGTCACAGTAAGTGGCCCCCTAATGCTACCACCCTACTTGAAATTCTCCCGACTCTCCTGATTACCCACTCTGGCATCCCAAGACCTTTGCTACACGGTAGGTGAGCAGCATAGCAGTGGCACTGGTTACTGACTGATTTCTCAACTTCTAATTGTTCCTATGAGCCCCACTGGGGCTGTTATTCATAAGTGGAAGGAACGTCACTCGGCCACCCACAGGAGCTCCTTACAAGATTTCCAAAAGAACAGCCCAAGAGCCAAGGACCGCTTAAAAAGCGCTCCAAAACAACCTGGAAGCAGTGGGTTCGGTCATCACAGAGAAAATAATAGGCAGTGCACTCTATTCGCGCACTCTATTCGGGATCACCCGTGAGACTCCATTAAGTTTGCTACACCCACACTCACTACACCTGTGCTTACATGCATGAGTTTAAACATTAGTTCACAGTAAGTGGCCCAAAATGCTACCGGCCTACTCTCCCAATTACCCACTCTGGCCTTAGTATTGGTCTTAACTTCAGGTGCAGAATGATTAAGTCTCTCACTGCTCTGGGTTCTAGCTTCTAGCATTTGTTACCAAGGATAAATGCGAAGGCTAGCTAGCTGTTCAGAGCCGTAGAAAAATGACTCTAACGTGGCTAAGTTTACTGCATGGCCCAGTATAAAGTGGTTTTGAGCAGCTTTACCACTCCCCCAAGTTTTAACATGATGGTCTTCTGCTTTTCTGCACCACTTACTGCTGTTCAAACAAAGATAGCAACATGTTCAGTGTTGCCAGATTGGACAGAAACCCCAGCTTAGCAACTCAATGCAACAACTATTTATAAGCAATACTTTATTTGTGTAGTACTTCAAATTATAATATTTGACTAAAATGAATTTTTAGAAATCATGAAATGCAAAACAACAGTGATAATCACGATAATATTTGCAATAATACTAAAGCACTAATACTAATTCATTCTAGCAACGACGATTATAGTGACAATAAAATAAACAGTAGGATTACAAAGTTGTATGAGTTATGTAAAAAGTTGTTCAATGATCTTGAGCTTTTCTTATTCATATGGAATATTTTAGTATATATACTCTATACTCTTTTAGTATAAATATTCTAAAATGAGCATGTTCCATAGTCCCAGCCCCAGCATGTACTAACAAAATTTTACAGCCTACTGAATGCAGACATTCTCTTCTTAAGTTAAGTGACCCTTATAAGTCCCACACCAGGGAAATTTCACCTCTGCATTTAACCCATCCGTGCAGTCAAACACCACATACACACTAGTGAACACACACACTAGGGGGCAGTGAGCACACTTGCCCAGAGCGGTGGGCAGCCCTATCCACAGCGCCCAGGGAGCAGTTGGGGGTTAAGTGCCTTGCTCAAGGGCACTTCAGTCACGTACTGTCGGCTCAGGGGATCGAACCAACGACCTTTCAGTCACAGGGCTGGTTCCCTAAGCTCCAGCCCATGAATGCCCCAGTATTCATCAGGGTTCATACGTACAGCTCCTGTCCTGGAAGGCGGGAGTCCACCACAGTCTGGTAATTTCCGTGCTCAAACACACCTGATTAACTATTCTGTTTACTGCAGGTCTAATAGGTGTGTTTAAGCATGCAAATCACCAAACTGTGCTGGACTCCAGCCCTCCAGGACCAAGAAGTGAAGAATCCTGATATACAGTGTGTTTAAATCATTTGTGATTCGAGAGGCATGGGATTGTGGTAGGATTTCTCAGTAGAGATAAAAATACTAAAATCAGTAGATGTAAGAAGAACAACAAACCTTAGACATCCACATTTCAGCTGCTCCTTTTTTTCTTCAAATGTAACAGCAGTTCCCTTCATCAGCCTTTCAAATAACAAACTCAGCGTTTCTTTTGGGTGAAAGACATCATAACATCATAACATAATCCCAAAGTTCCTTATAACTACCTGAGGCCTTTCTCTACTGTGTTTATCAGGAAGCACACACCACATAATTATGATAATGACAGCCAAACGGACTTTATACTTCAGCTGACTTCATTTGTTTACCTGGGAGGCACTTCCTGGCTCCACCAGGTAAGTCAGAAAGGTGAGCCCAGTGAATCCAGCACTTCCTTGCGTTTGCATTTGAAAAAAAAATGGTGTTTTGGATGTATATGTCAACGTGCTACAACATGTTATATCTACAGAATTGCTGTTTTTCTGCTGTTTTGCTTCTTTGGGCATGTGTGACCCACTGACACATTTGTTTAAAGTAAATTTAAATGTACCATTTAGTGTGAGAATGTAGGTGCAACATGCTTTATGCTTTAGTTTACTGTGAGTGCTGGTGATCATGATGCTCAAATTAGGGCCTGAAATACATAATTTGGCTGATAAAATTAGCTAATATTAAGGTTCCACAGATTCAGTATCAGCAAAAGCATTCAAACCTTTAAAAAAAACGTTTTATAAGAAAACCACACTCAGGAATAAAATGCTATCTTGAACAACAAACAGCTGCTTACTTAAGACATTTAACAGCTACAAACAGACATAAGCATATTTTCCAAATGACTTTGTGTCAGTCAGTAAAACATTGTTTAACTACTATTGGAGTAAACTTAAAATCTAAAAGTTCTAAAATTCAAATTGGACAGCAATAGCAGTCACATTCACACAGGCTGTTACAAGGAATCTGCACAGATTTCAGAGAATTATTAGGCACAGACTACAGTTTTTCCAAATTTTATAGAGATTAAAAATACACTAAAGTACAGAACTATACAGAAACTCTCATACATTAAGTACGAGTCGTGACCTCAGCGATATCCAGACCTTTCAGTTACATCTGATCCTTGAATACACTTCTGCAACACTTCTGCATCACTAAGCAGGGTTGGGATAGCTACTGAAAAATTAGTGGTTAGCTACTTTGTAGCTACTTTCCCAAAATTTGTAGCTGCTACAATTTAGCTACTTTTCCAGAAAACGTAGTGGCTACTTTTTAGCTACTTTTTAAAAAGTAGTGCACGACTTTTTAGCTACTTTCAACGCGTGACTGTCAGAATGTCTGTGAATCTCCAACTGACACACGAAACAAGCCCAACCGACAGTGTGAACAAGATGCTGCATTTAATCATGAGCCAGAAAGAAACAATCGAAAAGCTGCAAATGTACAAAAAGATCAACAAACAGTAAGTTTAACTGTAACCAACAATCAAACGTACACAACCAAAGGCGTGATATCCAGCAAAACTTTAGACTAAAGGCAAAGTCAATCAATCCAGGTTTTTCCTAATAAAAATCAACAAAAACAACAAATAACCGAATACAAACGAAACAATTTTGTGCAAAGCGTTGTCAACTGTTGAAGTAAAACTGCTCCAGTTTAAACAATTCATTTTCATTTCATCATTCAAGATTTGTACAGACATGACATTCAGAGTCCTTTAAACTTCAGCAACACTTTAGCCTCAAAATCCTCATCAGTGACTCTGACTCTGCACAGCAGTATTAGTAATAGAATATTAGGAAAATGTTTTTTTTTTCCGCTTTAGCCAAGCCAGGGGTCGGCAACACGGCTCTTTTACTGCCCTGTTGCGGCTCCACAGCAGAATTAGATTTGTAGGTAAAAATAAAATAATCCTCCTTTGCTGTAAAATAAAGCTCTGCTGATCATTCAAACACAGTTTTAACAATAAACTGTCCTAAACACTGGAATTAACGCATGACTGCTAATTCACCAACCTTTAATGCTGAAGACTGACGCGTAGACTAGCTCGCAGCTAACGAAACGGCAAAGAGAGAGATTTAAGGCGAACATTGATAATAATAATATCGATGCGTTCATAAATCACTCCAGCTGGTTTCCTGATATGTTTAATCTGCAACGAGAAACTGTCACACACTAAGTCATGAAGTCAGCTTCTCATTTGAGTTTTCCTGTTCCACCTTAAATGGCGTAGCAGTACATTCTGGCGCCTCAGGCACCGTTTAAGATGGAACGGGACGATTCTAATGAGAAGCTGGTGAATGAGAAGCGACTTCAGCCTTGTAAAAAGTCGAATGCTGAGAGACATTTTACAAGAAACTCTACTTTGGTGGAAAAGTTTCCTGACTGAGAGGCGAGAAAAGCAGCTATAGCTGAGCTGAAGCTTAAAGCAGAGCAAAGTAAGTCAGCGTTTTCCTTATATATTACAATTTTATCCTATACTAGCATATCAGCACATACTGAGACATATTTACAGCCATGATGGTAAAACGAACATAAAATGTTGTGGCTCCCAAGTTGAAGGACAAAATGGCTTTTCTTAACATTGGGGTTGCGACTCCTGCGCTAAGCCTACTAGTAAGGGGTGATCAGCACGTGCCCGTTTGCTCGAACTGTCCGGCTCAGTCAGGATTGCACAATCGCCACCAGCCCAGTTAACTGCTGCGTTCTATGATTCTGATTTTGCACGGATTGCCTGAAGATTGTAGTGAAATTGTAGCAAAAATTTTCACTACAGCTACACAAAAATGTGTAGGCACTACAGCTGTTAGCTACATGTAATAAAACTGTAGCGGCTACAGCTATTAGCTACAAAAAATTGTAGTTAGCTACAAAAAGTAGCACGCTATTTAACTACTCCTCCATCCCTGTCACTAAGCAAGGCTAACATTAATTACATTACATTTTCTCATTAACCCACAGAAGTCTAAGAGTTATTATTACTACGGATTTTACTATCTCACTATTAGTTGGTCAGTTTATCAGAGTTGCCAACTTTGGTGAGGTGACCTCCTTTCAGGAAGTTGGAGTGAAACTGGAGAGATTTTCAATGTTGTGTGTACAGGTGTGTATCCACTGTTACTCTGCTCAAAACACTAATTTGAACCACAGCTCAGTCATTAGCCAGTCCACATTGCTCTAACGCAGCCCCAGACACCTAAACAAAGCCATTAAAAACATGAAATATCTAGTGCAGGTCTGTTTCAAGCTGGGTTAGAGCAAAATGTATTTTGATGCAACTGTTTTTCAACAGTTTCCACTGGCCTGATTTTAATCAAGTATAACTGGCTGTTATGTTCAAAGGCAGGGATAATTAAATGGTGTTTGCTGTGATTCTGCTTATTTCTTATAAAGCACTGAAATGAATTTTCTCTTGTGCTTTCCTGGTGGTACAGATTTGTGTTGCTTTTCTAGTAATCTAAAAGTAATTTAACGAGTAGTGAGAGAACTTGGTTTTCCATGAAGTATTAAGTAATCACATTCAATTTTACGAGATGTAATTTGAGGCTCTGGCCTCAAACGCGGCAGTCTGCTTCACTGCACTCCGCTCTCTCTGGCCGTGCTAGTGACATTTAAAGGCAGAACTGCTGCCAGTATCCTCTTAACAGGCTACGATATGAACCAATTGGATGTCATAATGCAGAAAGGACATAAAATAGTCACAATGCAAGTTTGTTCTGAGTGTGCCAGTTGGTTGGCTTGAGATTTCTTTGCGCAGCGTGGGAGGATGAGACCCAAAATAGTGAGTTTCACACCAAAATGGTGACAACCTGGTTGGAATTCTTTCTCCTCTATGACTTTTGTCATAACCGTTAGTCCACAAATAAGTGCAGATAAAGCAATATATAAACAGCATATACCTCCCGCTGTCTAATCCTGAGTTAGTCCGCTTTGTTTTTGAGGCAGCAGACGTAAAGGAATGGCCAGTCTTTTGAGGTTAGCCTTAGCATGGAACAGAGCTACTGAAGCGCTTGCTGTGCTTCTGTTTTCACTTGAACCGCCTGAGAAGCCACCGAACTTGGTCAGCTGCATCAGATGAGGCCACAGTCGGGGCCTCGTGTGGACCAGCTGGTACTGAAGCTTGAATTAGTATGACATTTTCCAGTGTCTGACACAAGTAGTGTAGGGAGAAGTATACGGGATGAACATTTGAGACATATGACTTGGGAAATCAGCGAAGCCAAAGAAATGGTGCAGCAGTTACATTCAAGCAGCTGTACAGGTTTTAACTATGACAGCAATACAGGCTACACTGGTGATTCTGATCAAGAAACACCATCATGGTAATACAAAAACATGAACAGTGCATCCAGACCTAACATTTAGCATGAGAAAACATTATTATTTAAAATATTTATCCTTTTTTATGAAACAAACTAATGAAAAACAAGTAAAAGGGTGGTAATGGTGATAAACAAAAAGCAAAAACATAAAGCATTCTGGGTAGCTCAGGCCTCAGGGCTTAAATACATTATTTAGAGTTGTATTATTTATGGGTTTCTGTTCAAATGAGTGAAAAAGGGGTAATTGAGAACTGACAATCATATCTCTGTCAGTAAAGCACAGTTTAGATAAAACTATTGGAGTAGAAAATTAAAATATAAAATATTAATATAAAACGTTGTCAGCCAATTTTATCGTTTAGCGTTTCTTTTAGCGCCCTAAAATCATTAGCGGTATTGTCTGGACCCAATTACTGACTTAATTATCCTTTACTAATAGATTCTAGTCTGCACTTTTGAATTTTTTCTAAGAAAAAATGGCAAACGCTGTAAAAATGTATAGAATTTTTCTGTCTGTAAAAAAAGACAATGCACACCAGTAATTTTGCAAATCATAATAAAAAAAATCCTATTAAAAGCATAATAAAATATCTTTGACTTAACACATTTTTGTTCGTATTGATTGGAATGAGTCGCAAATGAGCTACAAGGGAGAAGTACTTAAACAAAAGAGGCATCTGAAAGCATATCGGAACAAAACCTTGTATATCCATTTTTGTCATTTTTCAGTTATCATAATTTGAAAATGCCTGTTAACCTTTACATTGTGTGTAAATTTTATAATGAATGGACCAAATGACCAAAATGACCCAAAATGACTTGGAAAGATGTCTGGTTCCATTGACTTACATTAAAAGTAATGTAGGTTTTTCCTTCTCCTGTAAAGTTACCATTTTGGAGATACGAGGTTTTGTTCTGACAACAGTGATATGTATCGCGTCTCTTGTAATGTTCAGTCTCCAGACCTGTTAGA